GTATCTTTTATTCATTTCATTTGTCTCTTTGTGGTTGTTATGCGTCTCTTTGAGGTTGTTCTGAATCATTTTGTAGTTATAGCAAAATAGACCCAAAAATGTAATCAAAATTGGCCCACTGGGAGTTGAAAGGTGACCATTTCCAGTATAAACTACCATTTCGAGTTTTGAAATTGTCGGAAATGGATTCAACATCCTCAATAACTTCCAAAACCACTCCAAGATTGTCCAAATCAGCCAAGCAGTTTCTGAAATATTGTCCATATATCCATATACTTTATGCTAATTACCCAACATGTGCAAGTTGGCATTGGGCAGTTTCTATAAAACTTTGGGGTACTCCACATTTCCAGGTTCACAATAGGGCTCTTTAGGCTGGCAAATCGACTAATGCTTACCAACTTCACACAGTACTTTACCTGTAAGACCCTGGATCTGCTATATGCCAATGTTAAGGAGGCATACAGGCAAGGCAAGTTTATTTGAATAGCACATTTCAACAACAAGGTAATTCAAAGTGCTTTACATAAAACATCAAAGCAACAGGGAAATATAAAAAAGTTTAAAAGTTAAATAGAAAACAAAGAAAAAGAAAACAAGACAGTAAAAGTTGCAGTGTAAGTTATCAGTCTAGTTAAAGTCAGTGGTGAAAAGAAAATTAATTAAAAAGCGAAAAGAAAAGTCTTCAGTCTTAATTTAAAAGAACTGACAGTTTCAGCAGACCTGCAGTATCTGGGAGTTTGTTCCAGATATACGGAGCATAATAACTGAATGCTGCTTCTCCTTGTTTAGTTTTGACTCTGGGGACAGAAAGCAGACCTGCCCCAGACGACCTGAGAGGTCTGGATGGTTCGTAATGAAGCAGAAGATCAGAAATGTATTTTGGCCCTAAACCATTTAGTGCTTTATAAACGAACAGCAGGATTTTGAAATCAATTCTTTGACATACAGGAAGCCAATGTAAAGACCTCAGAACTGGAGTGATGTGATCCATGAAGACGATAAATGCATGGATAAGTTTTTCCAGGTCTTGCTGAGACATAAGTCCTTTAATCCTTGATATATTCTTCAGGTGATCGTAGGCTGACTTTGTAATTGTCTTAATGTGTCTCCTCAGATTCAGGTCTGAGTCCATGACTACACCAAGATTTCTGGCTTGGTTTGTGGTTCTTATCATCACCAATTGAAGCTGAGCACTGACTTTTAATAGTTCCTCCCTGGCTCCAAAAACAATAACTTCAGTTATTTTGTTCAATTGAAGAAAATTCTGGCACATCCAATCGTTGACCTGCTCAGTACAGTTACTCAGCGCCTGTATGTGATCATAGTCCCCTGGTGAAATGGTTATGTAAATCTGTGTGTCATCTGCATAATTATGGTAACATATTTTGTTGTTTTTCATAATCTGAGCCAGTGGAAGCATGTAAACAAAAGAGGACCCAGAATGGAGCCTTGGGGAACTCCACATGTCATTTTGCAGCTCTGATGTGTGATTACCTATAGACACAAAGTAGTCCCTGTCCTTGAAGTAGGATTCAAACCAGTTTAGTCCAACCCAGTTTTCAAGTCTGTCTAGTAATATGTTGGGTCGATGGTCGAAGGCAGCACTGAGATCCAATAATACTATATCTATCTAAACAACAAAGGCTGAAGCTAATGATGGTTTTAGTAATCGAGTATTCTACGATTATTTCATCGACCTTTCTCTTATCTTGAAATAATCCCACACTTTGGACA